TAAAATTTGGTTAGTTAATGCAGTACCCATATTATTCAAGAATGTGGTCTAGCTATACAGAATAATCAAAAAAGAAAACAATCTTTTTTGTGTAACAATATTTTTATTGAAATTTTCCAAATACAACATTAGAAAGATATTGGTTCACAGTGCATCGGTACTTCTGTATAATCAAAGATTCACAGGTGCTAAATGAACATATGACAAATATGCACACTCAAGGAACAGAGTGACCGAGTGGTCTTAAGTGCTCGTCACACACAATCAACATTGTAGCCAATTCTTAGAGATTGTTTCCATGTCCCCTGGTAGTGAGCCAAATAACAACCAATAACATAAGGTGGGGTAAGGCCCCAAGAAACAGAAAAGGGGGGGTGGGGGTATAGGGTGGTAGGGGGGATTAGTAGTAACCGGTCACCCGTACTACTAGGGAATAGGGGGGTCCCATATTTCACATACACCAAGCTTATATTGAATTTCCGTGCCTGCCACTCTTCACTCCTCGTACAGTTATCCATCAGCTGTCCAACCAACCTCATATGCCTCGATAGCTCATGGGGTCTATCCCAGGGTGACGGTACGAGAGCCATGGTTCCCACACACTCAGGAACCTGGAGTGTTTATCTTCCAAGATACTAGATAGTCTCTCATTTAGCATAATATGATCCATCCTGCGCATGACTTCTACATAGGGGAGTTGTTGTTTCTTCCAGTTTCCTGCCAGCGTCAGTTTGGCTGCCAGGAAAATGAAGTGCGCCAGAGCCCTTTGGGGCTTATTAAATCCTGGGATGGTCATATGAAACAGGGCATAATGAACATTTATTGGTACATGTGTAGAGAACAGGGAGCCAATTAGTTTAAATACCCTGACCCAAAATCGAGTAGCAAGGGGGCAGCACCACCAGATATGTAGCATATCTCCCGTCTCTTGGCATCCCCGGAAACATGTATGCGAGGCCGTGGGGAATAGGCGCGCCACCCTGGCCGGGACCAGGTACCACCTCATCATCACCTTGTAGGCTACCTCTGCATTTGTAACGCTAATGGAGCATTTTGCGACATTGCGCCAAATCTGTTGCCATTCCCTCGTGGACCATTGCAGGTGAAGGTCCCCTTCCCAGCTGCGGACATAGGTGTGGGAAGTGTGGCTGACTAGTCTATTCAATTGTGAATAGAGGATTGTTATGAGGCCTGGGCCTTCTGGAGAGTGAAGGCACATATGCTCGAAACAAGTAAATAAATTAGTGGGGTCCCTTCTTCTAGTAAGAGTGGAGATCCAGTGGTGAAGTTGGAGATATCTAAAGTGTTCTACTACTGGAATTTGGTTGTGTTCTCGCAAGTATTGCCAGGAGGGAATGGCGGATGAGCGCAGTAGGTCGTGCACTACCTGAAATCCGTTGTTTATCCACCAACCAAAGGCCGTGGGATTATCCATGCCCGGCCTAAAGAGTGGTTGGGCAAACAAGGGAAGCAACGGGAGATATGGTGAGATTAGGTGGAAAACAATCTTTTTTAAGCAAATCAGGTTTATTGAATTTCGCATGACATACATCAGATAAAAAGACAAAAGTAACCAAACACAAAGTGACCTGCAAGGTCCATGATACCAGATCTTAGCCAAGGGGTTACAACTATATCGAAGAAAGGTAATAAAATTATCCAGGACGGCATTTAGCATTTTTCAGGGTTGCATAAGAGCAGACCACAATAACATAAAACATGAAGATACAAGAAAGGGAGGGAAACAAACCATAAAACACAAGGCAAGACATAAAGAAGGAAGAGTAGCGGCGGTAGATCAGGAAGGCCCAATGGTGCAAAATCAAGGCCAATCGACAATCATTTTCATATTTAACAGGCGAGAGGCATAGGTCCACAGCATGACATAAGATATTAAATAGTGGAGGTGGCCAATAACAATTTGAAAAAGTCAGAATCCTGAAAGCAGATCCAGGGTCCCCAAACCTGCTTGAATGGTTCATAACAATCAGAATCTACAGCGACCCTTTCCTCCAGAAAACAATCTTTTTGACTTGTTGTCTACAAAGAGTTTTCATTAATAGGGCAAACGGGGGCTTATTCCCTCCTAGCGGTCCATTGCAGTGTGTTAACAGATGATAATGTGCGTTGTGTTTAAAGCAACCCATTCTTCATGAATAAGATGCCAATGCACCCAAGTGGTTTAAAAACACTTTTTTTTTAGCAACGCAGCACACCATACTGCATGGTATGTGCGTTGTGGAGCACTAATTGTACTAACTGTACAGTACATTGGGGTTCCATTGATAATGAGTGGCATTACGATTGGCCACGCATATAGCAGATGCGTTGTCATGCATTGCCGCAATGCACACATGTTAATGGGTTCTTAATTATTTCAGTTCTACTTTAAATGCATGCGTGTTTCTTTACGTTATCTTAATATTATAATTTAGGCCACTACTCCTTCAGAGCAGTATTCGTCCGAGGCATACTTCCTCCCTGCAAAAAAGGACACTACAACAACACAGCCACTACAAGAAAAGTCACAGAATCGAGCGGTAAGATCTGAATAACATGTCAAAACTGAATGCCAGGAGGATATTAGCCTCTTGTCATCCCCAGCACTCAGATCAGGGAAGGGAAGGCTGGAACTCTAAATTAGGCTTTGCTGCATTGCATACTACTGTCTGTGCACATGCTAGCAGGAGAAGCTAGGCTGCTAACTAGGAACAAGAGCACAGGATGTCTTCAGTAGTGTGCTGCTGCTCCTTAACTGTCCAATCACAGGCTGGGGGTGGGCCCTGGAGCCAGCTGTATTGTTTAAAGATGGAAGCTGTGTCAGAGAATGGCAAGTAGAGGACAAATGACTTGTCACCAGTAATGTGTACAGGTGTCTGCACGTACATTATCTTCCCAAATTCCTAGGCAGCCCTAAAGATGCACATACAGTACAGCACTGTGCTTGCTACAGTACTCAACAGAGTACCATTTAATCAGTCCTTGCCCCAGAGATGTTTTCCTACGGATGCATACAGGTCCCCACAGTCTAGGACCAGTTTACGAAGGAAGCAAGGTCATCTAACGCTATGAAATAAAAAACCTAAATGGAGACATTGTTCCCGGTATTAACTGAACCCATAGCCCCAGCAAGGCAAAAATCACATACTCACTGAGCCACTTAAGGGTATAACTATAATCACAGTAACCATGCAAATGCTTTGGAGCACAGTGCATTGAGTACTCAGCACTATATGCCTACATAGTGCAGGTGGCAAGAGATTTTGGCAAATATATCTGTAAAATTTCCAGTTCTTGGCCACAAAAGAAGGTCCCACGGGCTGCCAGTTAGAAAGCCTAGAGAATGCCTGGGTGGTGAAGCAGGGGCTCTTAATGGTTTTGGTATGGGTCTCTACCACACATAGTTACCCCCTGGTGTTGATGGTTTGTTTTTCTGAAATAATGGAAGACCTGTAAAGGTTACATTGGTTATATA